CTCAGGCCAGTGCAGAAACGGCTCACCCAAGCGAGCAAGGAGAACCTCCAATGGAATCAAAAGGCAGTGACCTCGTGTGCAATGAGGAAACGCACAGTCTACACAGCCGGGCAGTGGGGATGTGATTCAGGAGGACACGGGCACTGTGGACATGGGTTTCTGGGAAGCCATGGGTGGGGAGAGCTCTGGTGGTGGAGCTGTGGCATTGACCTTCACTCAGAGAAAGCCTGATTTAATTTTTAAAAGCATCTTCTTAGCCTAATATGACTCAAAGGGCACAGGCAGGACCCAACGATCGTGTTGTTGCAGGAGCATTCCCTCCCAGATGAAAGGCGCTCAGGGCAGAAGCGTTTGTGCAGACAAAGCTGAACCCCGCTGGAAGAAAATGCCTTCCTGATTATCCTTTTCCAAGAAGGGGTGATCATAGGGTTGTAGTGGCCAAGAACAGATAGTTATGTTGGGCGCGATGCTCCACCATAGCCCCAGACCACTGAGGCACAAGCGGACGGGGCTCTTGCCCACATAGTGGCAATAAATAGGCAAGGGTTACCACGCAGGGGCTCTCCTTCGACTGACTTTATAAGTGCTCTAGGCAGGAAATGCAGAAGGAGCTTACGAATCTCAGGTTCTGCTTATCCTGGCATTGCCCGAGCCTCGCACTGATGCTGGGGTTCGCACCCCCAGTGTCAGAGTGCTGGCGCGTTTGTTTAGCTGTACACAAGATCCTTGGCCCTTATTTATAGGATCTTCTGTAGGATCTGAAGGGGCCTTAAATTTCTCAGCTCTGCTTTACTGCAGATGGAGGAGGAAATGATATGTTTTAATGATATTCACAAATACTGAGATTGACAAGGTTCGGAATTGAAATCATTTTCCATCCATTCATTTGACAACGATCATAATGCCGGGAGCCAGGGCATAGCAGCAAACAAGGTGGGCGTGGCCTCCTGGAGTAGCAGGAGGCCTCTGGGGCTTACGTGGCCTCAGGGTCCCATGAGAGCTGTCCACACCCCGCTGCTCCCCAGGCTTCCTGTCGCTCCCCGAGGCCAGCCCCCTGCCATTCCTCCCTGTGCCAAGCTCCGCCCACCACAGGGCCTTGGCACCTGCTGCTCCCTTGGCCTGGAACAGCCTCCCCATATGGGTATTCACAAGGCTCACCGCCTTCAGGTCTCTGCTCAGATGTCACCCTCCCTGACCGAGTGTCTGAAATAGTGTCCTTCCCCCTCCTGTCATCTCTAGCTTTTATCCCACTTGATTTTTTCCCCAGCCCTCATCACCTGCTGCTGGCGTGTCCTGTGTGCCTGATCCGTGTCTGTCTGTGCCCCATGACTGTGAGGTCTGTGAGGACAGGGACTTGCCTTTCCCACCCACGTCTGTACCCCGGCACCCAGAGCAGCATCTTATCCCACAGTGTAGTGACAGTTGAGAGCCTGTGTCATTAATGCCTGTGCCTTGCGGGGAACCCAGTTCTGCTTCAGCTCCCCCTGGGGTGAGGATGTGTTGGTGCTTCAGGATTCCTCAGTTCCAGCTCCAGACGGACTCAAGGCCACTTCTTTTCTTTCACTCTCTTTTCCTGTCCTCCCAGCTGCGTCAGGGACCTGCGTGAGGAAGATCCCAGTGGCCTCACCACACCGCTTGGACCCACAGTGTTTCCATAGCAATGAGAATCCCCACCTCCATCAGCTTCTTCCAGCTCTCACCTTCTCATCCCTCGAGTAGCTGATAAGAAAGGAAAACAGAGTTAAAAGCAGCCTTGACTGGGGAGAACAGAATCCCCAGGTCACATTGCCAGCAGTGCCTTACTCTATGTCCCCAGGAGCAGTACTGGAGCCACAGCAAGAGTCCATCAAAGTCAGAGAATGACCCACTGCCATTATCACCCAGGCCAGCCAGCCATCCGAAGGCATGCAAGGCTCCCTTTGGGTGCCCTTGACTTTCCTGGAGGAGCAGCTGGGACTTGCCGTGGCCTGTATTAGACCAGCCCTTGGGTTCTGTTGGCTTTCACGTTTCCTAAAAACTGAAATACTTTATGAACAAATAAATTCAGGGGGATTTCACATAAACTTCAGATTCTAACTTTTCTTGGAGAAAAACCTGGCAACACTAGAAGCACAGCTCTGTCTGGCAGGCATTGGCTGGAGCTGGGCAGTGGCTCAGCTGCCTCCCATCTCCCCCACACCCACCCCGAGTTCAGTCTCACTCACTCAGAGTGCCTGCCCGGTCCCTGGGCATTCACATCCAAAGCCCCTCTCCTGGATGCCTGGAAGAAATTGGTGTCCCCTCATTTTAGCTTAGCTTTTCCATCAACCCAGTACCTGGCTATACTCCCTCTCCTGCCAAAGCCATTCTTGGTGTTGCTACTTGAAGCCTCATTAAGATGCAAATTCTAACATAGCAGGAGGATAAAGGGCTCCAACTAAATCTCTAAGAATCAGCGGTGCCTGTTTACTGAGGTCATGAGGATGGAAGGTTGCTGGGGGTTTTTTGTTTGTTTGTTTTCAATTTTTATTTATTTATTGGCTGCGTTGGATCTTCGTTGCTGCGTGCTGCGTTGGGTCTTCATTGCTGCGCACAGGCTTTCTCTAGTTGTGGCGAGGGGGGGCTGCTCTTCGTTGAGGTGTGCGGGCTTCTCATTGCAGTGGCTTCTCTTGTTGCGAAGCAGGGCTCTAGGCGCGTGGGCTCAGTAGTTGTGGCTCTCGGGCACTAGAGCGCAGGCTCGGTAGATGTGGCGCATGGGCTTAGTTGCTCCGTGGCATGTGGGATCTTCCCGGACCAGGGCTCGAACCCGTGTCCCCTGCACTGGCAGGCAGACTCTCAACCACTGTGCTACCAGGTAAGCCCAGGTTGCTGGTTTTTAACAAACCTTTGTACCAGGCTATCTATATCTATATCTATATCTATATCTATATCTATATCTATATCTGTATCTATATCTATATCTCCCCAGAGAAGTCATAGCTATTAATTCCCAGTTAGTTAGTTATAGGCCAGCATTAATGTCAGTCTTTGATACTATTGTTAAATGATGCAACCAAGTTGCCTAGGTTGAATTCACATCTCCAGCCCAGACCACCCTCCCAAACTCCGCACTCGTGTGTGTGTACAGGCCAACTGGACAGCTCCACCCTGATGCCAAAATCACATCTCTGGGCTCCAAGCTGCCCCTGCTCTTCGCTTCCAAACCTGCTCCTCTGACAGCCCTCCGCAGCTCAACTGAGAGCAACCCCATCATCTGTTTCCTCAGGCCAGAACCTTGGCATCATTCTTGACTCTCTTTCTGCACCAGCCACATCTACTCTGTCAGGAAATCCTGTTGGCTCTGTCTGCAACATACACGCAGAAACTGACCACACTCTGTATCCCCCCTCCACTGGGCAGCTGCAGGAGCCCTAACTGGCCTCCCTGCTTTCCCCCTCACCTCCCTTCATTCTGTTCTCCACTCAGCACCTAAGTCAAATCAGGTCCCCTGCTTTCAAGCCTTCAGTGGCTCCCCATTTTTCTCGGAGTAATGGCCTTACAGTGTCCTCCAAGGCCCTGCCTTGGCCCTCCCCACCCCTTCTCAGGCCTCTCACTTCACACTGGTTCCTGGACCACACTTCCCCAACGCTCTGTGTGGCCAACCCTGCCACCCTGCTCACCCCATCTCTGTTACCCTGCTCTGCTTTTCTTGTTTTTCCATATCATTTTCTGACATGGAACACCCTAGAGTATTTATTGTTTCTCTGCCTATTGCCTCTCTCTACAAGGGCAACGGTCTTGATCTGTATGGTCGCTGCAGTGTCCCCAGTGCTAAGAACAGAGCCTGGCAGAGTGGCACTCAATAAATATTTGCCGAGGGGTTGAAATTCAGTAGGTTAAAGCCTCATTCAACATCCCAATGGAAACATTTTGAGCAGTTCTATTTTTAAATGGAGATTTTTTTTTTTTTAACAGAGAAAGAATCCAAACATAAGTAATTGAGAGGATGTTCTCATAACCCCCCATGTTCATTACCCGACCTTGGCAATGGTCAATTGATGGCCAATTTCATCTGCACCCACACCCACACCCCAGGTGATTATGAAGCAAATTCAGGTCACCATATTTATCTATAGATATTTTAGCATGCCTTTCTTTTTACAGATGCGTAGTATTCCATTGGGTAAATGTACCATAATGTATTTTTTTCCAACCAGTCTTGTTGGGTACTTTTTCATATATTGCAAATATTTTTGCATATTATAAAATCAGTGTTCCACTCATTAGAACTTCCAGAATCGACTACAGCTTTGCAATACTTTTTTCTTCAGTTGAGGAGTAATTTCTTTGTAACTCTTATGACCCATGTAAATATGAAACAAAGCAAAAATCTTCCCAAATACCCACCGTTCTTCACAATGTCAGGTATTAGTCCTTACAGGCACTTTGTTAGAGGGCTAACTTTTAATTTCAATTTTAGATGTAAAGGCAAGTTGCAAGGATAGTACAGATGACACTCCCATTCCCCCGGGTTCACCAGTTGTTGACATTTTGCGGCAGTTGCTTTATATTTGCTCTGCGTATGTGTATTTTTAAATCATTTGAGATTAAATTGTAGACAGCATCCCACTTTACCCTGAACACTGCAGTATGTATCTCCTAAGAACGAGGGCATTCATTTTACATTGCCACAGTGCACTTATGTATGAAATTCAGGATATTTAGCATTAATACAATACTGTTATCCAAGTCACAGACTCTACTCGGATTTCTCCACTTGCTACAATAATGTTCTTTACAGGGATATTTACCGACCCAGGATCCAGCCTCGGGATCGCCATTGCATTCAGCTGCCATGTCTGCCCCGTCTGCTTTCGTCTAGAGCAGCTCTCCAGGCTGTCTTTGTCTTTTTTGACCTTGACATTTTTGGAGAGTACGGGCCAGTTGTTTTTATAGAATGTTCCTCAATTTGAGTCTAATCGATTTGGAGCTGCCCTCCAAGAATGCAATCTAAAGGCTCACCCCCTGTTTTCTGCCCCCAGGACCTGGAAGCCACCGAGAGAGACCCCTATCAGCAACCCGAAAACTCGTGTGCAAGGCTGAGGACCGAGAGGAGGACGCCTCAGCCGTGCTCAGAGCCATCCAGGTGGAGAACGAAGCCCTGCAGAGGGCGATCCTCAGCAGAAAGGCTGAGCCCCCCGCCAGCCCACCACAGGTGCGTTCCCAGGCAGAGGGAAAGGATGGAGAAGGACTTGGGCTACTCAGGGACCAGGCAGTGTCCGAGCGGTGCTTGCAAAGAGCACGTGGTGAGGAGAGAGAGCAGTGGAGGCATCCCTGACCTTACACCAATCAGCGCATCCACTGTCTGAGGCACAGCTGCTTACTGACCTGTCGAAGTCCCCATTTCCTCCACCTCCTTTCCATCTTTTGTTTCCTAGGCCTAAGTTGGATGCTAATATGCCTCCAATTCTTGCTGATTTCCTTACAAACCCTGAATACCTTCAACTAGAGTTAAACATTGGTGTGTCAGAGACAGGATGGCGCAAACAACCAGCTCTGGCTTCTCTGGAAAGACCCCCTTTCCCAGAGCATGAGCCCTTCCAGCCTCCGCAGTCCTCACCACTCCTTAACGTCCTGCTCCTGGCCTGCTTCACCTTCTCAGGAAACCCCTCTGGCCCTACAGGTGTTTGAGTTGGTGCCCGCAGCCTTCGGCTTGGAGCAGCAAACAGGAGGATGGATGGTGGGGTGGAGCGGGGCTCTCTGGGGAGCTGGAGGCCTTGGACATCCCTCAATGTCTACATCCTTTCTCAGAAGCATGTTCCCTGACTCACCTGTTGAAATCTTTTACCTTAACTTGATGTTCACAGTAGCCCTGAAACAGGCAGGGCTGGTTTCATCACACTGTTTTATAGATATGGCTGATGGCACCCAGGGAATCAGGGTGGCTTTCTCATGGCATGTCTGTGGAAGTGGCTGAGGTCTGCCTGCCTGAAAGCCTAGGGCCCCGCCCACACCGCTAGTTGCTCCCCAGGCCCTGTTGGCGGGCTGCTCTTTGGGGTGATCACCAATCAACATCTGTTGTCTGTTTTCCTGGTGCTCGGCCCTTTGCCCCTGACATTTGTGTCTATGACCTCAAGACAGTCTGCACCTCTATCAGTGAAGGATGTGAAGTGGATGGCTTTATCCTGACCTCAGATCATGTGATTCCATCCCTCCAGGGCACAGAGAGACCACCAGCAGAGTCATGGACCGGTCTGCTGAAGGAGGAGACCCCTGAGGTCAGTGAAGGCCAGAGAGGGACAGCAGAGCCCCATTCCCACAGCAGCCAACAGTCTCCAGAGGGCCTTCCCCACACGGTGCCAGCAGGACCTCACTGTGCTCCCTGAGCACGCCAGCATTCTGCGCATCTCCCAGATGGGGAGACCTGTGCTGAAGCATGTTGCCCAAGGTTACGAGTGGAAGCCAGAACTCACCCAGGCCTGCTGATTCCAGTCCCTTGTTACGTTTCCATTTCCTGACAAGATAACACAGAAAAGGATCTCAGTATCCTAAATTTATATCTATATCTATCTAGGTCAGTTAGGCCAGTCTCAGCAAAGATGGCCCCAGGAAATATGGTCGTGAATTAATAAAACACCTGGGAACGTCTTTGTTAGATTGTGCACAAGTCTATGCTGTGTCCTCAGAATACAGAGGTGACCGAGTCAGACCAGAGTAGCCCCTGGCCTCAGGGAGCTTTCAGACAAGATTCGAGTATATAAGAGTAAAGCCGTATATGACCAAGGTGACTTCAGAGAGAGGTGGCAATACAAGGTGCTAATGGGTGAGAGAGTGACAGGGTATAGGATGGTGACTACCTCCCACAGGGGGATCCGAGGAGGCCCCTTGGAAGGTGTCCCATTTAGGCTGAGCCCTGCCTAGTAAGAAGGAGCCAGCCAACAAAGGAACAGCATTCCAAGTGGAAGGAACAGGGGAAAAGCTTCGAAGTGGGAATGAGCCCGGCCTGTTCCAGGAGTGGGAGAGTTGTAGAGGAGAAGGGGACAGGGGAAGATAAGGGGTGGACAGTAGGGAACCGGAGGGAACGCTCATGAAACAGAGTGCCGGGCAGGGCAGCACCCCAGAGCAACATAGTGGTTTTCTTTTGGCATCGCTCCTACTTTTCCTATTACTTCCCAGTCATCTTAAACCATTGCCAGCCAGTATTTCTGACAGGTTTGCCACTTTGCCCACCCTGCGATCCAGGATTTCTGGATGACCTGACCCCTGATTCACAGAGCTTCCAATGACTACAATTATTTGCAGATAAAGATCAGAGCACATTTCTAGTTTAAATGATAAATGGAAAAGAAGGGGAAAAGGCTTGGAGGATTAAAAATGAAAGGGTCTAATGTTACTGGCATTCTCCATGCAGTCCCATTACTTTGTAGCAAACAGAACAGAGATTCACTGGAGGAGGGGAAAGGTTTTGATGAGAGAAATTTTTCAATGGCTCATTGAAGCAGACCGTTTCCTGGGACCTCCCAGATCATAAGAAACTGAGATCCCACCTTTTTTGTAAAGACCGTGTGAGGGGATTCTAGATCTAATCAGCCCCAGGTAGTTGCTTTCACCCTCATTCCTGTTCCCAGTTTCCCGCAACAAGACTGATGGCCTGCGAAGTGTGTCCCTTTGACCGTGGCTCTGCTGTGTCTTGGGCCAGGAGGGTCGCCTCGGACATCTGTTTAATAAGCTTTTCCATCCTCCCTCAGCTGCCCTCCATCACCGCGGCAACGAGCACAGCGACCAGCTCGCAGGAGCAGTCCAGGGCAGCAGGGGGAGCCAGAGCCGTCAGTGAAGCCATCGACAGGATCGGCCTTCTGGGGAGCAGGTACTTATCGAGGCAGCTTCAAAGCAAAAACAGCAACCCGTAGCCATCCAGCCATGAGGATCTTATTAACTGAGGTTTTTCTTTGCATTATGATTCCAGACCATTTAAAACTGATCCCTTAGACTGCATCCCCCCTCACCCTCCCTCCAACCCAAAAGCCTGAAATTGACTTGATTTCTTTCAGACACGTGTCTCTTGGCTTGTTCAGTTCCCTTCAGCCCACGTAAAACTTCAGTCTACTCCAAGGTTTTCACGGAAGCAGCCCGCGCGGCAGACAGTGACCCAAGGCAGTGTCCTCTGAACCTTCTTTTCTCTATTCAGAGTTTGTTCAAATGCAGCATTCTCTTCCGTTCACACATAGCATCAGTGATTGGCACTGTCAAGTTTTATTATCAAAATAAAGGCTTTCCTGTAGTCATCAGGCAACACTGATCTTCAGAAAGATGCACCATGCCGAGCCAATAGCTTCAAGCACACATTTGAGCCCCACCATGCTCCCCGGGCCGCTGTGCAGAGCTGGGCACGTGGTAGTCTGTGCAGCGCTCATGCCTGGCTGAGCGGTGAGAGCAGCTGAAGTCCAGCCTGCACAGTGGTCGCTAAGCTGAGGCTCTGGCCTGAGGCTGCATCAGCCCCGAAAGGCGTGGGGGCTTTTTCTCTGCACAAAGGAGGAATTTCCCGGCCAATCTATGTATTCTCCTCCAGGAGTCTGCAGACCCCAGATTGGAAACCATGCTGTGGACCACTGTGGCCATGAATAAGAACTTGAAAGGGCGAGTGAAAGGGCTGGGCCATGAGGATGTGTTACATCAGATACAGATACAGGATATGTTACAAGCAGCACACACATCACCAAATGCTTCTTTCTTCATCATCAAGATCCTTTGTGCTTCAGGGTCTTGGGAGTTCTCAGCCTTAAACAGCACAAGTAGGGTGTGTTTGCAGACAGCTCTCTGCTAGGTTTGGAATGCTGTGTCCTCAGAAACTAGAGAGGCAAGGCAGGTCACTAGATCAGGAGCTGGCAGACTTTCTCAGTAAAGGGCCAGATAGCAAATCCTTCAGGCTTTTCACATTTTGTTTGTTTGTTTGTTTTAACAACCCTTTAACAATGTAAAAACCATTCTTAGCTTGCAGGCCACACAGAAACAGGCTGCGGGCTGCATTTGACCTGCAGGCTGTATGTACTGTGTAGACACCCGCTCTAGACTCTTACAGCCTAGCAGTCAGCTTAAGGACATCATCTGGCCATCTGGCCCCAAGCAATTTCTCTTACTTGGCCCTTCTTTCATCGCTAATTGTACAATTATTTATAAAGGGAGAAAACCAGCTGGTGTGCGCCTTTGATCTGTCTGCGGGGGTGTGAGTATTTTCGTCTCAAATTGTTACTTCTCTCTGAAATAGAAAAGTAAGCCTGGTACCCTTGATGCAAACTTTCTCATTACTATCGATACCTGTTTGCTAAAACAAAATCAATTTCAGACACCAGCAGAAGGTTCTGAAAGTCCTCCAGGCCATCGAAAGTGACTCCACCCAACTCAGCCAGGTTGTTTCACCCACTGAGGAGCAAGTTCTGGACCCAGAGGTGAGAACCTTGACTTATGAAGGCATTCATGTCTTGCCTGAAGGCTGAGGGAGGAAGGGCCCCTCAGTACAATCATTTCTGTTCGGTGGGAGCTGCTCTGACAGTGGTAAACTTAGCATCTTTCTGCCCCAGTCTCCATCCCCACTCCTCCCCAGCACATAGACATCCGTGCAATGGAGCGTGAAGTTTCAGAAGACGGAAGCCTGTCCACACAAGAGGAAATATAAATAGCCTGTAAAGCCCAACAAAAATATCCAGCATCGCTTGTAATCAAGAAATACAAATCAGAGCAACCTTAACATCCCATTTGATGTTAACAAATCTCAGTTAACAAATTATTCTTGATGATAACCTCTAGCACTGGCAAGGTTACAGTGAAACTGGCAGTCTTACCCTGCTGGCAGCAATAGAAATGGGTGGAAAGCTTTTGAAAAGCCGAAAGGCTCTTAGGAAGAGCCTGAGAAATACTTATGTCTTTCAGCCTGACAATCCCACTTCCTTACCCTGAAGAATTCACTCAACAGAAATAAAAAACTATAGGCGCAAAAATGTCTATTGCACAATTATTGGAAGAAGGGAAAGGTGAGAGAAAAAAACACAGAAATAACATAAATGTCTCACAATAGTAGAGTTAATCAGGAAAGTATGATACGTCAGCACAATGCAGTCGTGTAAAAGGATGGAAATTTTCATTATGGAGATTATGCGGATAGAAAATGTTAAGGATATAAAGTTAGCTGCAAAAAGTGATGTTCATCTTCATCGAGTCTGATATGATTGCAGCGACTGGGCAAGGATATGGCTGTGAGCGGGTCGATGGAGCTGAGACATGAACGGTGAAAGGGCAAGGTAGCATCAGGATGGATGGATAACGGATGATGCGTTTCTCTTTTGGGTCAAAAGGTGTGTGTCCAGCACATCCTCTCATCTCTTCCTCTACCCAAGCCTTTCTTATAACTATTTGGTTCAGCGGTCACCCATCTTGTGATTGGTCAATGGGGACTTAACAGGAAGCCCTCCCAAAGTCACACATAAAGCTCGTATGAAAGCAGAAAGAGCCCTGCTCCAGCCCAGACTGGAGTTCTGGCTTGGAGTCTGGCATCATCATTTAGAGGTCGTGTGACCTTACATAAGCCTCTTAAGCTGTCTGGTCCTGGGGGTGTGTGACTGTCAAACTGGGTAAATAATCCACAGCCCACGGGGCCACTGTGCAGCTGGAAGAGGAAAGGTCTGTAAGGGCAGATGGCTCCGTGCCTGGCACAAGGCAAGGAGGAATCAGGAAATATGCCGTCTAAAAAAATCTAGGGCGGGCTTCCCTGGTGGCGCAGTGGTTGGGAGTCTGCCTGCCAATGCAGGGGGCGCGGGTTCGTGCCCCGGTCCGGGGGGAATCCCACATGCCGCGGAGCGGCTGAGCCCGTGGGCCATGGCCGCTGAGCCTGTGCGTCCGGAGCCTGTGCTCCGCAACGGGAGAGGCCACAACAGTGAGAGGCCCGCGTACCACACAAAAAAACAAAAAACAAAAAAACAAAGAGAAGAAAAATGCCACATTTCTTTGTAATGAATGCCGTAGTCAGGATCAAGCAGGGCTTGATCCAGAAGCTCACACTATGTCTGTACCGTGTCAGCTGCATCCTGAGCCTCATCCCCACCTCAATGCCCAGTCCCAGCTCTGCTCTTTCCC